CCGAGCCAGAACCTTCTGGCCATCAGCTCTTCTGTTTAGAATATGAGGCAGACAGCGGAGAGGTCACCTCAGTTATCGTGTATCAGGTATGCCTCGTGGAAACAGCTGCAGCCTGAAGGTCCTTGGCCGTGCTAGAAATCACTGCCAGAGCCTGAGCCACTGTTTTCCTCAGGGCCAGTGGGAAGTGTCGGCTCCACATAGGAGCACAGACTGCTGGGCGATGCTTTCGAGCACAACTCATGCCTGTCACACAGTGATTCTCAGCAGGCACCTGGGAGGGCATGTGGCCCCCAGCTGAAAATCACTATTACAGGGGACACCTGGGAAATGACAGGCACTGGCAAGAAGCCGTGAGTCAAATGGAGTTCTGTGAGAATGTTGTCTAGGGACAGGGCAGGTGGCCTTTCCAGAAGAGGCCAGGCCCTGAGCTTCCTGACTCTTCCTCCACGTAGGACGATGATCCAGGAAGGGTGAGTGAGGAGGTGTCAGCACACACGCCTCTGGATCCACCCATGCGAGAGGCCCTCAAGTTGCGCATCCAGGAGGAGATTGCAAAGCGCCAGAGGCGACACTGACCAGGCTGAAGGCATTCTCACCAGGCTGGATTCACTGCCCAGGGAGCTCACTCCTAGTTTGGGGGTGCCAGGACCAGTCTGAGCTGATCTTGAGAGACACACACACACACCCAAGTTCAACATCCATAGGAACAGAGTGTTGCAGGGACAGGCCTGCTTTACAGGCCATTCTTTCTTGCATGTTGGCCCATTTGACCAGCTTAGTATTCTGGAATTTGAGAATTTTGTTTGGCTAACTTGGTGTTCTAGAAGCATAGATTCCAGGGAGAGCTGAGCTTTATGAAACCTTATGCCAACATGCTGCTTTCTTACTGAGGTCGTATGCCGTGGGACACCTAACCACTGCTGCTCCACCCAGCTCAATGAACCCTGTTTGTTGTTTTACAGTTCATTTGTTCCTTGCTTCTGCTCACTTCCATCCATGTTTTCCTAGATCTTTTTTTCAGCCGTTTCTTTGTTCTTTCCATTCCCTCATCTTTGTCTCAGAATCCATCAGTTCCACCGCACCTCCCAATGTGACTGTGCACCTCCCAACTGCTCAGGACTTTGGAGGTGGGGAGTTCTGGGGGTTCTACCTTTCTTTCCCGGTAATTCTCATACCAATAAAGTGGGAGATCTTCATTTTTGAGACTGACTTGCAAGCATGTCTCCCTCCCCTTCCATGGCTTTTGCAAGTTTCTCTCATACCGCACGGCTTTGCACTGTCTAGATAAAGAGACCTAGGAAGATGATGCCAGAACTCAACTGCAAGGATTTCTTGCAGCAAAACCTGCCTTGGTTAGGGCTACAGGATTCCAGTTTTCAACCTCATCCCTAGCTGTGAACAGACCATCCCCGGCTCAGGCTAAAGGTGAATTATCAAAACAAGCTTGAAACTGACTCTCCAAATGTGATCTAACAGTCTTGAATGTATGTACAAAGGGAAATTCAACATGAGCAATAATTGCCTATTTGGAGCCCTAGTTGCAAAAAAAAAAAAAAAAAAAAAAAAGGCCTGTACAATGGGCAGCAAAATGAGCCTCTCTCATCTGCCCTGCCCCTGCCCCATTCTTTCTCCTTTCCTATCTCCCAAGAGTATAGAAACTGAGATCCTTAGACTAAAAGATCCTAGGAATATCACTGTTTTCACCTCAGTGAACATTTTCCCTAATGCAGGATTAGGCTAAGGTCTGTCTGAGAAGTCCACAAGACATCCTATGTACTGCCACTTCAGATTTCCAGCAATTGACCTAACCTCAGTGACTTAAAGTATGGGGTTTAAGTGAGCCCATGAACACTAAGACTTCTTGAAACCAAAGTCCCCCTGCCTCAGGGGTTTTCTCTACATCAGGGTCTCAAGATCAGTCTGGCTGTTCTATCTCAGCGGCTTTTCTCTTAAAGGACACCTGAGGGCACTGTTGGTTTGCGCCTACACCCCTGAAAATCTACCACCTCAGAAATGGGGCAAGGCAGCTACTTAAACTACATCATTAGAACCCAGTGAGCCACAGCTTGCAGTGCCCAGAGGAATTCTGGCAACGTGAGTGAGGTAGATAAGTTAGATGGGCCTGGTTGTGAAGGGAGCCAGGGACCAGAGTGTTTCCTGGCCCACAGAGCTGGCCCAAGGTTAAATGCCTTAAACTTGCCAGTCCTGGGCTCGTTTCTACTTTCAGAGGAGAAAGTCTGCCCTCCACTTACTCAGCCAGGCTAGAAGTGCCTTTTGACTTAAAATGTTAACTATCCTCCAGAGTCTCCGAGTCAAGGAGGCTGTGCCATACTCTCTCCCCAATCTTCCTGCAGCTCAGAGGCCTGGGGATTTTAGTCTTCCAGCTCTTCAACTGATCTTCTGACTTGGACATAGGATTTCACTGGAACTCTTAGGCTTCCTAGTCTGGAAATACTTTTTGGGTCTGCTCACAACTGGATGGCCTGTTTCACGGATTTATTACAGAATTCAGAAACAAGACCAGAAGACGAGGTTGGGGGCATGGCACCTGAAATTTTGGCCTCCATTCCTGTTTGTGAGAAGGGAAGTGTGTACCTAATATAACCTTTTATGTCTGTCATGTACTCACACTCGCAGGTAAGAGACTGATTGGAACTCCTTGTTTGTGAACTTTCTTTCTTGAGGCATTTTGCTAATCAAGTGCATATAAAATATTTTCCACCCAAGAAAGCAGCCTAATTCTTAGCTAATTTAAGCAGTAGGACTACAGGAAGCACTAAGCCTGGTACTTAAACGGGAGGTTGTCCTTTTGGGGAGGCCTGTTGGTGGTGATGCTGCCATAGCCCCGGATGTGCCTGAAATGCCTCTCTGCTTCTCAGCCAGCTGACAGCCTTTTAGCTCAGGCTCGTTGCTTATTGCCACCCCTCCTCTAGGGTCCAGGATGGTACTGCTACTATCCAGTTTATTCACCAGACTTGCCTCCAGACATCTTCCAGCTGTTTTCAGAAATCAGTGCTTTCCCATCAAGGAGCATGTTACAGAGCATTTCCCACAGGCTCTAGAGATGTTACAGAGGACTGCCCCATGCTATTTGGTACAGTGGCAACAGTGTCAGACTGACTGGAGCTCTCTGGCAGGCTGCTTCAGAAAGAACACTCATTTGACTAGATGCATTCTTGGCTGTCTAAAAAAAAAAAAGTCTGGTAGTCTCATAGACCTATCTCATGCCCATGAGTGTTCTTCACTTACTGAGGGTAGGCCTTGGATTTTAAGGCTTTCTGTTTCCTGGGCCACCATGGGTGATACTATAAATAGAAGGAATCTGGGGTTTTTAGGGGCTTTGGGCTGTGTAAGAGTAAACACTAAAGTTTGAGTTCTAGCCAGTTGACAAGCCTAGAAATCTTTGAAGAATGTAATGAAAGAAGGAAAAGGAAGAATGTAAAGCTTTCTGTACTGAGAGTAGGAGTCTGTGGCACTTGGCCAGCCAGTAGAACCAACGTGGGCAATAACAAATGACTCTCCCTGTGGATGAGCCTCTGAAAGGGGCATTTCACCTCCATGGTCCACTCTGAGGCGCACTGCCAACTAGAGATTAGCCCATGGGGCTGGAAGAAACCCTTTGAAGTAGTGAGTATCCGAACTGCTGTGCATTTGCCAGGATGCATGGATAGTAGGGTAGTGGATCCCCATCTGGTTCACAAGCATAAATGAGACCTTTGCATATCAAAAGAGGAATGAGGACAGATGACTTTCCTACCTTTGAGCCTTTTGGGATAATCAGCACGGAATGTTAACAATCATTTGAAACATTTTCAGCTCCCTCATTGAATTCCTATCCTATCCCTAAGGACTCAGATGGTCAAGAAGCCATAGGCACCCACCCAAATTTCTCCAGTAGTTAGAGTGACGCCAGAAGTAAAAACCTGAGTATATGGCTCCTTTGCCTTCTCAGAACCTCCAGGATGAGAGATTGGTTGCACTGGTTGTGTTAAATGTATAACAAGCCATATATTCTTGTTTTCTCATTTCCAATGTTTCTGCTGTGTGAATGAATGAAGTGTGCAAATTATTTGAAAATCTTGGAAGGTGGTACTTTTCGAAAACAGTATTCTTTTTAAGCAATAAACTATTTTTACAGCACTGTTTTTGCCAAGAGTTTTGAAATCACTTGTGTACATAGGGAAGTGAAGATTAAATGCCTGCCCTCAAGTCATTCAGCAGCACAGGATCAGCACTTGAAATCTCATCTCTTGCTTTGCCTTGACTATTTTAAGAACCGTCCTGGTTGGAGCATAACAACTAGACTCACGTAGCATTAGAGCTAGCAGGGACTATTAAAGATGTCTGGTCCCACTTCTTATCTGGTAAGTAACTCCATCCTGCCAACTACCCATGAAGAGCCCTTCTGTCATAGGGAGTTCTGTCTTGGGGTAATTCTACTTTAAGGACTGCTATTATCCTATTAAGGCAAAATTTGCCTCTTTGTCACAGTTCTGTAGTGCCCATCTTACCCCCACTTTGTTAGAATAGCCAATTTAGGTCCTAAGTACCCTCTCAGGTCTTCCCCATGATAACAGTTGGATAGGAACTCAAACCCAACTCAGCAGGATATAGTAAGTGTTGACTAAGACTTGCAAAGCTTCCAGTGAGGTAGGAAATGCTGAGGGTTCACAGCACCATTGGGCAGATGGGAAAAAGGTGCCTACTCCAAATGGAAACACACCTGGGCAGAAAGATGGTGCTTCTCTGATTTAGAAAGCAACACCTCCGTGTCCTGGGACGCAGAGCATGGCAGGCAAAACCCCACTGATCCATTCAGCCAGGTGATCACTGCACAGCCATACTTTTTTTTTTTTTTTTTTTTAAGATTTTATTTGACAGTACAAGCAGGGGAAGGGGCAGGGAGAGGGCGAAGCAAGCTCCCAGTTGAGCAAGGAGCCCTATGCAGGGCTCAATCCCAGGACCCCAGGATCATGACCTGAGCTGAAGGCAAACGCTTCATGGACTGAGCCACCCAGGCGCCCCTGCTCAACCAAACTTCTTGGCCCTGCTTAAACTATTTGTCCTGATTCGGAAAAGCACTCTCCAATAGATTTCTGGTTTCCGTTTTTACCTTCCATTTGGTCCAAAAAAGGTTGCTCCTTCAAGCCCCTGAGCAGTTTATCTGCTCCATTTTTTCCTCATGATACCGGGCTCCGTTTCTGCACATCACCTTTGATGCACCAATGCTGCCAGACCTAAGCTTCCCCTGCTCCTGGCAGCCTGGGCCCATGTTCCGTTCGGGTAGCCGGCTGTCAGCCCTGGTGCTCTGTCACGGGATGCCAGCACCTGACGGGCTTCTTAGAGTGCCACATACACTTCAGGTATGTGAAACGTTTTCCCACCCTTTTTATCATGAAAAGAATGTCCAAGAAGGCACCCTTAGCCTGTACATTTTGGTGAAGCCGATGGTAATTTATTCCCACACTATCCTGTTTCCTCTTCCCAAATTGCTCTGGGTCTCCAGTCTGTCTTTTCTTTACCAATACCTGGCCATGTGTGACCATGGATATCCATTGGTCTCCGTGGCCTTGTTTCAAGTAAGTGTTCATCAGCCAGGAAACAGGTTTTGGACACTGACTTCTGGACAGTATTCTATGTACCTGGACCCTTGAAAATAAAAAGTATCTCGTGAAAGTAGCCCTCCAGAGTTTGCTGAGCCGAGGGAAGCATAAGCCCAATCGCGGGCGCTTGAACTTAACAGCCAAGGCTTTGTGCTCCCTTCTTCGCGGACCCTCCTCGCCTAGGACAGAGGCAGGCAAGGGGCGCCGCGCTAAGGGAGGTTCCCCCAAGTCTTACTGTCGGCCGGTCCGGGCTGCAAAAATGTGCCCAGCGGCGGAGGGAGTCTTCCTCCAGCCTTGCGCGCGATGCCAATCACAGCGGGGCGGCCCCTGAGCTTCCTGCTCCCCCGAAGCTTCCACCGCAGAAACAAGATACCCAGGACGACGGGCTTCTCGGAATCGGAGCCTCCGCCCGAGTCCCACGCCACAGCCCTCCGCTCTCAGGGCCCCGAAGTCGGGGCACCGCCCACGCTTCCACCACCACTCGAGCGCGGGGGCTCGGGAGTTGTAGTCTCCGGCCGAGCGCGGGCGCGGGGGCCGGGGCGGCGCGGACTCCACGTCCCGGCGGGCGGCGCGGCGCGGCTGGGGCGCCAGGGGCGGGGCCGCTCGGCCCTTTAAACCTTCCAGGGCTGCTCCGAGGGCCGCAGCTAGAGACGGCGCCACGCGGGGCCGAGCAGGGCGCGGCGGCGGCGGTAGCGGCGGGGCGCTCCGGGGAGGTGCGTACTGGGCCCCTTCGTGTCCCCGGCCCTCGGGGGTAGGATCCGCTGGGGAGGCTCGCGTTCCCGGCTCCCGGGGGGGGGGGGGCTCCGTACGCCCACGCGGGCGGGGGCCGGGCTGGGCTTCCTGCGCGAACCCGCCTTTTCCCCGGGGCGCCGGCAGTCAGGTGTTGCCTGCGCGCGGCCGCCGCTCCGCCGGGCCCCGCACCCGCCCGCAGGCTCTCCTTGGGCGGCCCCTTGGACGGCCCTGACTGCAGCCCCTCCCCCAGCCCGGTCCCCCCCCAGCGTGGGAGCCACCCCCAGATGTTTCGGCCCCGCCTGAGCGTCTGGGGTGCACCGGTGGCATTCGGGTGGAACGCGGAGGCCCACGGTGAAGGCCAGAAGGTGTCCACGTTCTGGCGTGGGCTCAGCCCCAAATGTGGGCGCTGTGAATCAGGTGTTGACCACCTTCTCCCCCCACCGGCTGCGGCCAGTCACTGGACCCTGGACTTTGACCTGTCTCTCTCCACCAGGCCTGGGCCGCTGATGGTTTTGACGAAGTATCTTAAGGTAGCTGGGCCGGCCCCCTTTTTCCCACCTACCTCTTGTCCTTCCCCCTACACCACCACCACCCTGGCTCCCCTCCCTCATGACCGCCTGGATCCTCCTTCCTGTCAGCTTGTCAGCATTCTCCATCACGGGCCTATGGACTGTGTGAGTAAGGAGGGGGAGGGCGACTAAGGGACAAAATGGGCTGAGGCTGAGGAGGGCTAGGACCCAACAGGAGCTCGATGGCACACACAGAGTCCCTTGTCCTGCTGGGGGCTCCAGCGTGGTACCCATGATCACGCTAGCTGTCTCCAAAGCCTGGCCTGGTGCCTGGGCACACAGCCCCTTCGGACAAGCTGGCACCACTGCCGTCCAGTAGGGTGACTCTGACAGACCTTCCAGCCAGGGCCACTTCCAGAGGTCCTCGAGTGTGGGGCCATGCTGTGGGTTCTCGTGTGGCATCAAGCTTCAGGGCTACCTTAACTTGAGTCCCCAGCAAGAACAAAGGCTGAATGGGGCCAGAATCAAGAGAAACGAGTCCATGGGAGCAAGCTGGGCTGGGAGGGCCATGGGTGTGGGGTGACAGTTCTGCTCCCGCAGGTATGCCATGGCCGTGATGAACCGCCACGCATGCCCTGTGGAGAACTGGTATGGCGCACTCTGCAGACAGCCTCCCTCTAAAGCTCCCTTCATCTCTGTTCCCTCTTGGGTCGGGGCAGCTGCGAGCCAGACGGAGACCCTGGGCCTCACTGCTCTTATCTGACATTGGCAACGCCTGCCCCTCCCCAGGCATGGCTCCATGCCCATCTACCTGTTTCCCACCATCCCTTCACCCCTTTGGCTTCTGTCTCAGGCGGGTTCTGGGAAGTGGGCTCTTCTGTCCCTGCCAAGGGAAGTCTGGAAGGGTGGTCTCTGAGGGCCTGAGGCTACAGGCCCAGAAGCTGGGGCAACCCCCTTTTCCCCAGGCTACTCTCTGTCCTGCCTACCAGGTCCTACAACGAATCCTGCTCTCCTGACACCGCTGAACAAGGGGGCCCGAAGACCTGCTGCACCCTGGACGATGTTCCCCTCATCAGGTAAAGTCTGGAAACTGGGCAGGTCAGGGAGACCCAAGCCCCTCAGGCAAAGACCTGTTCCTCAGTCTCAGGAATAATGAGTGTATTAAGATTACTTAAGAACGATTCTCCGTGCCAGTCACTATGTGCCAGGCACTGTGCTGAGTGCTCTACGTGCATGGTGCCATTTAATCCTGCCAGCACCAGGGCAGCTCCTGTTTTCACCGTCTTGTAGGCAAGAAAACAGACTGAGGTGTGTCATCGGTCCAGATCACAGAGCTAGTAAGTGGAGGCACCTGAAGCTCAAGCCCTCTGATTGCCCAGCCCCAGTTCTGGCTCAAGGGAAGCCAGACTGGCTGCAGGCCTTGACAATCTCAGGGAGTCCAAGGAGTCTCAGGCCCTGCCAAGCAATCCTGGGCACTCCCTTACCCATCATACACATGAGCTCTGCTCTGGGGGAGGGCCCAGCCTGGGGCCGGTTGTTTGTGATACACAACTGGTCCTTCTCATAAATCAGTGGCTTGCCTGCTAAGGAACAGGCACAGATAAAGCAGGAGACAGATGGGCCAGAATGGGGGTGCTAGTACTCCTGCCCCTCTCTCACTCTGTCCTTGCCCCCCGCCCCCAGCAAGTGTGGCACATATCCCCCAGAGAGCTGCCTCTTCAGCCTCATTGGCAACATGGGTGCTTTCATGGGTGAGTTGTGCCCTCAGCCCCCCTAGCCAGCCCAGTCCAACCCACTCCCCACCCCCCCCAGAAAGGCCCAGGAAACCCTTGTTCAGTGTAGCCCACCCCACCAAGGGCTAAAGCAAGAGGGGCCACTTCTCTCCTGTTCCTTTAACAAGAGCCAAAGGCTCCCACACAGCCACCCTGCTGGCCAGAGCCTGAGGAAACCCTGCCCTTCTCTTCCCTTTCAGCCCTCAGGAGTGTCTGGCGGGGATAGGGGTGGGGGAGTTGGTGGGAGGAGGGCCCCAGTGCCGGCCCCACCTGTGCTCTCTTCCCCCAGTGGTCCTGATCTGCCTGTTGCTCTACGGGCAGCTCCTGGAGCAGAGTCGTCATTCCTGGGTTAACACCACAACGCTCATCACGGGTTGCACCAATGCTGCGGGCCTCGTGGTGGTCGGCAACTTCCAGGTGTGCCCGCCTGCCTGCCTCTTGAACTTTTACTAACGGGGCCTGGCTTCTGCCTGTGCCCTCAGTCCCGTGAAGGCTGACCCCATTTGCAGAGACAGCCCTTCAAGGCTGAGGGTGGGGAGAGAGGGGCTGGGAGGGAAGGGGGCAGGGGAAAGAGGGGTGGTGGAGGGGGGGCTGCCTCACAGATCAGCCCCTCTCTCCGGGCCCAGGTGGATCATGCGAAGTCTCTGCACTACATCGGAACTGGTGTGGCCTTCCCCGCTGGGCTGCTCTTCGTCTGCCTGCACTGTGCCCTCTCCTACCATGGGGCCACTGCCCCCCAGGACCTGGCTATGGCCTACCTGCGGATTGTACTGGCAGCCATCGCCTTTGTCACCCTAGTCCTCAGTATCCTTCTGGGACAGTGCAGCCAGGAACTCCTCCTCTAGCCCAGACTTTCCCCACCCGAGACCCCGGGGGGTGGGGGAGAGCCTCGCATACATATATCCAGAAAATACTGCCCAGTGCGGTTTCCTTCCTCCCCTCCCTGGTGGGGAGACCTGGCTCTTTGCCCCGGCTGCCCCAGCTTAGCTATCTACCTGGGAAGATAGAACTGTCACCAGCTCCCACGTGTCTTACTGAACACTTCCTTAGCCCCATTCCAGGCGGTGTCTTCTTTATGCATGAGAGCTCTCAGCTGCAGCACGGGGCAGCCCTGTGTGAGTGGGTGTTTGTGATTGACATCCTCATTTTCTACGGCACCTTCAGCTATGAGTTTGGGGCAGTCTCCTCAGAGACACTGGTGGCTGCGCTGCAGCCTGCCCCTGGCCGGGCCTGCAAGTCCTCCGGGAGCTGTAGCACCTCCACGCACCTCAACTGTGCTCCCGAAAGCATCACCATGATCTGAGATCTGGGGAGGGTGGCTGGCCCAGCCTCAGCAGCTCCCCACCTCTTAACTTTGCATTTATTTTGTACCAAAAACAATTTTGAGAAAGTATTCTGCTGGGATATAGGCTTCCTTGCTGCTGGAGGAGTGGCCATCCCATGCCCACCTGTGCCATAGGGGAGCAGGCCTGGCGGTGGCCTGGACCACACACAACCTACTCTCCAACTCTGCAGGGTTGTTTTTATGTTTAAAGGTCACATATCCTCACTCACCCAGCCGGCCCTTCAGGTGCCTTCTACTCCCCAGTGCCAAGGCCACACCACTGGGGTTTCCTGCTGCAGAAATTGGGGGCTGGGAACAGCAAGAGGGACAGAAGTCTGTGGGAAGGCCCACTTTTGGGCCCACTGAGGTGCACTGGGATTCTTCACTCTGCCCCTTACTTTCTTTTGGGCAAATAATACAGCAGAACCACATGGGTATTTTAGTACTTTTTTTTTTTAATCTATTAAAAGAATTCTAATTTGCATGTTTGTAGTATGTTCTAAAGAATCAAGGGAGGGCCTAAGCCTCCCTAGGCAAAGGATGGGAGGAAACCCCTGCCCTCAGGGAGAGTCCTGAGTGCCCAATGCTCTTTGAGAGCAGGGCTGCCAAGAGTAAAGGATGCCTGGTGCCATCCAAATACCCCTCAAGGGCTTGAAACCCTTTCTAGGCCTTTAAACTGTCTGAAGAATTGACGTGATCCTCCCCCCACTCAGAGTGTGGTTTGAAGTTGGCTTCCTTGGTAAGGGATATTGGCGGGGGTGGGGTCATTCATAGAACAACTTGAAAATGCTAGAAGCAATTTTCACAATGAAGCTAAAGAAAGCCTGTGGGATTCCAAGGTTGACTAAAAATTGCAGGGGAGAGAGATGTAGGCTAATTTTTCTTTACCATCTGTAAGTAGCCATTGGATGCCAGACCCTGACCCATTTTGCTTTCCAACGATGAGCATATAGGCCCAAGCACTGGCTGGTCTAGTGGCCAGGTTCTTGACCTGGGTTCCACTGCTCTCAGGCCAGCAGGCTTGGCAGGAAGGGACACACAGCCTGGTGCTTTCCGTGGTTCACGCCTACCTTCCCCAATAGCAGTAGGGACCTTATGGAGGGTGCAGAGGCCCTGCCCAGGCCTGTGAGCAATGCAGTGCAGGGTGGGTAAAGGAATCTTTAATGAGGATTCAGGTGCAAGAGGAAGATGCTGTGGCAGACAGGTGCTCCGCCCCAGGCACCTCATGTGTACATGGCTCCATGGAGGTTCTCAAGTCGGTGCTTTTGTTGCTGCTTGCGAGCCTGAAGGAAAGAGTTACACTGGGCATGAGCCATACCTGAAGGCCTGTGGGTGGAGTGATGGGACAGCTATCATGGGGCTGCCTATCACTGTTCAGGCCCCTAGCATGTACATTGCCAAGGCTCTCGTCCCTTGCCAAAGTCACCAGGAAAACGACCAGAGCCAGCGACCCTGAGGCCGACCCAGGGCTGCTAAGGTAGGGAATGAGAACACTGAGGACAGGGACTGGGGGGGTCCCCATTACCACCCAACCTCTCCACTTACCACCAGCCCCTACCTTATCTCGTCTGTGCTCCTCATAAGTGTCATCATCAGTGGGCAGCTCATGGCGGCACAGGGGACAGGAATTTGTCTGAGAAAAGGAGCACAGTGTTCCAGCCCAGGTCTGGTCTTCATCAGCTAATATCCATCCCCTGCTCCCAGTTCCTACCCCTACCCCTCTCCCTTCTCTGATCCCCTGAAAGTCCATAAACAGAAAGAGGCTTGAAAACTGGGCCCAGGGCAGGGTGAGGGCTGACAGAAAGGAAGCAGTACCTTGCTTAGCCAGGGTAGAATGCAGTTGGAATGGAAGAGGTGATGGCAAGGCATCTCAATGGCAGTCTCCTCCTCCTCAAATTCCAAAAGACACACGGGGCACTTGAGCTCTTTAGGAGGGAGTGCTGATCAGGAGAGCTGCTACAGGCCCTACCTCCCGGCTCCCACTCCTGAAGGACATTCTTGCCCCAACCTGACCTGGAAAACTGAAGGGCTAGACCAGTCTAGCTTGGGAGGGGGTGGGTCTGGCACGCCTGCCCCAAACAGCAGAAAGAATTAGTGTTCTTACCAGCCTGAGAGCCCCTGATCACCGTCCTGGGAAGGTTCTCAACCACAGCCTTGGCAGCAGGTGGAGGCAGGTGGTGATCCCAATCTACTACCAACCCCAAGTCTTCAAAGTCCATCCTATTGAAAAGTGACCTGGGAAGAACGACGCGTGTTCAGAACCAAAGAAAACCATCCTTTCTCTTTGCCCCCACAATCCACTAGGCATTAACAGATAAATACCCTGAACAGCTAGTACTAACAGCTACCCCACAAAAGTGCTCAGTAGATAAAAAGCACAGTGGGAAATGGTTTACAGTTGCTATAAGACAACCCCAAGCATGCAAGCTGTTTAGTCCCAATTTACACATGAGGCAACAGGCTCAGAGAAGTTACTCAGGCCAAGTGGAAATGACCCGGTAAAGCCAGATTCCAAGTGGCAGTGTGGACTTCCGTGCTTGTTCCTAACGAAGGTTCCTACTCACACCCCCAAGGCCCCTCCCCAGACCCCATGACCCGTCTTCTCCCGTACCTGCTAGAACCGGCTACCGTCCCGCTCCCGACTGCCCCCTATTCGCCAGCTCCAGTCTTTCCCACAATCCCCTTGCCCGGCCCAACCACGGATGATCCAAATTATCGACCTTCCTCGAATCTCGTCTCCGGACTAACTCTCCAGATTGTTCATCCGTCCTCCCCAGAACCTCTGCCCCATATAATCCGCCTTCTCCAGCCAGCCCCAGCCCAGAAGCCTGCTACCTGCCCCCACCTCCCAGCACCGTGCACCCACCTTGCGAGCTCCAGAAGCATATTGGTTCGGGCCTCCTGCTCGGAATCCAACGGCTCGCAATCGTGTTCATCGAAATAGGACGCCATGGCAGCGGGGCTGTCTGACACAGCCTTTGCACCCCGCTGGACTGCGGCCCCGCGGCGCTGGCCAATAGGCTGCGGGCCTGAGAGAGGAAGACCAATCAGAGCACCCAAAAGGTGGGCACAGAGGCTCGTTAGGGGCACTGAAAGCGGAAGTATTAATTCTGCTGCCCCTCGTTGGCTCGAACAAATCAGGTGACCAAAGGCTAAAGCCAATGGCAGCGGCTGGGGCCGGACAGAAAACATCTGTTTTGGACTCCGAACCTAGGGTAGGCGATCTGGGAGTGACGTGAGCTTCGCGTCCACAGCGCCTTGGAAAGCCAGATGTCGGGGCTGTAGGGGTCGTGTCAGTCCGTTCTGCGGCTCAGAGGGCCTAGGACGTGCAGGTGCTAGAGGCCCTCCAGAGAGCGAGGCGCTGGCGCAGGGGCTCACGGTACTGCCAACCTGGAATCACGGCGTTTCCCGCCGCTCTGCCCGGTCCCGGTACATTCGTTTGGAACAAGCACGGAAGTCCACACTGCCACTTGGAATCTGGCTTTACCGGGTCATTTCCACTTGGCCTGAGTAACTACTCTGCCGGGCACTTTTGCACCTGCTGCTAAGTGGTTCAGGAGTTGGCTCTTGATTCCCCTCTGACCCGCAAAACAAAAATTTCCTACTTACCTCTTCTGTTAGGCACAATAAGGGGTGGGACAAAACTCCCCCACCGAGGGAGGGAAGATTCCTGCTGGGGAATCTGGGGCCTTACCCTCACATGGGACTATGTATGTGACCTCCAGCCCCTTAAGCAGCCTCTCCCCGAGCTTCTGTGAAATCAGTGGCTTGAATTCAATAAGCGGTTTGCCTCCCTGGCTAGCCATGACTATCCTGGAGAGAGAACCAGGGGTTGCAGCTTTAGGGGAAAACAACCCTGCGTCAGAGACTTACCCTCAAAGAGTCTGATTTAACCGATTTAGGCCCCATAAGGAAGCTGTGTAGGCCAGTAGCTAATGGGTGGTACCCAGGCATCCCACAGACTTGGATTTAAATCTTAGCTCTGGTACTCACTGATCTAGGCCTAGGGGTGGTATTTTTAGAAGTTCTGCAGGTGATTCTAATGTGAGGCAGGGTTGAGAACTGCACTAAATGATTTGGATGATAGCTATCATTTACTTGGCATCTAGAACCATTTACATTGATGGATGTTTTACACACAATATAAGTAATCCTCACAATTGTTCTGGGAGTTAAGTATGTCCCTTTTTACATATGTAAAACCCAAGCCTCAGAAGTGGCTTGCCCAAATTCACATGGCCTTTAAGTGGTGTTGCTGACCAACTACAGGGCCAAGTGTTTTTCCCCATCTTTCCGAAAAGAAGATGGTAATGAGCCCCATGGAAGTAACAAGCTCTGTGAGAGGTAAAGCTCCACACAGGTCTCAGCTTTGTTGTTTCTCTGTCAGAAGCTCTCACTTTACCTAACAAGGAACTGCTTCTGTTGTTACACACTTTACTCTGAATTCCTCTTCCACCCACACTTGACTTTGAGGTGCAGTCAAGTAGCCCAGGCAGAGACTGCCCAGATCCCGCAGTCTTTCCTTCTTCCATGGCCTTTACCCAGTCATCTTTCCTGTGACCCTGAGGCCCTGCCAGCTTAGCCCTGTGTGGCCCTGGAGCTTTGAAAAGGCCAAATTCTTGCGTACAGGGCAAACTCTAGGCTATCCTTTGTAATGATGCATTACCGGAGAAGCCTTCCCATTTTCACTGCTATTGGCCTCATCTGTAATCAAGTGTAAAGTTTGAGGAAGAATGTAGGAGACAAATTGAGGACAGAGTGTTCAGAGAGGGAAACGTCTATTAAAAAATGAGAGGCTTGGTGGGGGGCGGGGGGCGCCTGGGTGGCTCAGTTGGTTAATCAACTGCCTTTGGCTCAGGTCATGATCCCAGGGTCCTGGGATCGAGACCCACATCGGGCTCCCTGCTCCTCGGGGAGCCTGCTTCTCCCTCTCCCTCTGCCTGTCACTCCCCCTGCTTGTGCTCTCTCTGTGTGAAATAAATAAATAAAATCTTTTTTAAAAAAATGAATAAGAGGCTTGGGACCCCTGGGTGGCTCAGTTGTGGTTAAGCATCTGCCTTCAGTTCAGGTCATGATCCCAGGGTCCCGGGACTGAGTCCCTCATTGGGCTCCCTGCTCAGCGGGGAGCCTGCTTCTCCCTCTGCTTCTGTCCCCCACCCCCGCTTCTGCTTGCTCGCTCTCTCTTTTGCTCTCCCTCAAATAAATAAAATTTTTTTTAAAAGATTTTGTTTTATTTATTTGAGAGAGAGAGAGCGAAAGAGAGAGCATGAGAGGGGGGAGGGTCAGAAGGAGAAGCAGACTCCCCGCTGAGCAGGGAGCCTGATGCGGGACTCGATCCCGGGGCTCTGGGACCATGACCTGAGCCGAAGGCAGTTGCCCAACCAACTGAGCCACCCAGGTGCCCCTAAAATCTTTTTTTTTTTTTAAGTGAGAGCCTTGTGAGATAAAAAACCTTTGAGGCGCTTTCCTCTTCTGGAGTCCTAT